GGCTAGAAAATTTAGTCATTTAATTCAGACTGTTTTAAACCATGAGCCACTACTGTTAAATTGCAGCCTACTTTTCATGTATTAAAATTGTAGCCTTGAAAGGCCTCATCTGAGATGGTCTCTTTCACAGATGAAACAGTTGTCATTTATCAAGCATGTCTGAAACAGCCTCAAGAACGATCACCATGAAGAAACTAAGTTTAAACAGTTTTCCGGTTTAAATTTATATCAGTCTATTCAAGTAAGGACTGGTATAAAACCCAGTGATTATTCATAAAAGTACTACTAGTTTTTTATTAAGTCTGATCTGGAGGTTTTGTCAGCAGTAGACACACACTCTCATAATGAGCTGGGGATGTGATACTGCAAGTCTGTCAAAGAATCCCTGAGACAAACTGTAGCCCCTTCCACTACTATTCTCTTTTTTGTTAGTAATAAGAAAAATCACTAATCAAATAGTAGGTGCCTTCAAAGTAAAAGCAGCTGCTGCTCTGGAAGTAAAGGGCACAACTCCACAAGCCAATATACTGCTAAAGACAAGATCACTTTTGTCAAATATCTCATTGTTAGTTGATGAATTCTGATTCTTATTTATGAAAGAAGTTTCCCTTTTTAACTAAATCCATGTTTTCAACTGATATTTCAGCAAAGTGCTGTAAAGAAGCAGGCTACCTACCAATTTGAAGTGTGTACATACCTAGCTAGAACATTACTCCATGTTCAAAGCTTCCTCTAGGCCAAAAGAGACACCATTTTTTACAAGTGGACAAATATTTCTCTGGAGTAATTCCATGAATTTGATCCCAAAGGCCAAATCCCATGTTTGTGCATTGTTTCCACTGATTTAACGGAGAGCTGCAGAAATATATTCTGGTGCAGCTTGAGAGCAAGACAGACAGTAACACAGGAGCTGTAGTCGCACAGATCTGCCAGGCTGTTAACAAATCCATCATACTATTTGATGAACTCCCTCTAGCGTCACAGGGAATTTGGACAGTGGGATTGATGGCAGGCTCACTTTGCAAAATCAGCTTACTTCTCCCTTGTCTTAAAAGCTGTCTGGGAGGAGAAAGCAGAAGGGAGCTCACGAGGTCTGTAAAGCTACATCAGACCTGGCAAATATTCAGTACTACACAACATTTGGGGAGCCCCATATGAACAGTAAAACAGACAGGCTGATGATGGCTAACAGATGTGACGGCAAGAGCAGAAATATGGAGCTCTTCAGTGCAGTCATGTTGTTAACTCATGCCATGGGGATACTTGTCACCAGAGCATTCTAGACCAGGAGTGCAGAGGAAAGGACTGAGGAACTGTTGTCAAGCACAGTGACAAATACAAGCTTTTTCTACTGCCTGTACTGGCAGGGGGAACCTACTCACCAAATAACCTTCATCTAGTACATTTGTGGACTTTGTGCTGATGCCGATTTTAAACCAGCTGCAGGTTTCAAGGTGCCCACAATCTCTTACGTACTCTTCAGCACATAACAGCAACTCTCAGTACTGTGACTGCTTTTGTAATTTCAAGGCGCTCTGCAACACTAAAGTTGGTGAGGTAGTAAATAATGAAGATGACAAGTTGTGCTTACTCTACCCACCTACATTGTGACTGTTTAACTACAGGACTCAGACAAAGTGATTTTTTTAATACCACCAAATGCAAAATACTACATCTGGGAAGCAAGAACGCAGATGTTGTCAATACCAGATGGCAGACACTGCCTTGAAAAGCTGCAGATGGACTTTGAAATCACTGAAAATAACAACCTCAGCATGAGCGCTCAGCATTCCACAATGCTATGGCAAAAAGGGCCGGTGCACTTTGTGGACATGAATATCAAGAAGCTGAGAAGTGATCATAGCACTATTTTTTATCAATAGTATGTAGAGCACTAGGCTAGCAATTGGAGCTGGTTCATTAGATACGCAGAAACAACAAAGTTCCAAAGGGGAGGGGGGGAACAGCTTCTGAATAAAAAGCACATACAACATAAGGCTTCACAAGCTCACTTTCCTCAGCTCATCCAAGTTTAATGGTTTAGTGGATAACATGAGACTGTTTGGCACTTTTCAGCCTTGCTGATAAGAATGCAGCAATCCACAAGTTGAAGTTAAATAACCAATATGGAAATAAAACTGAATTTCTCAATAATGACCACAACCAAGTATTAGAACACATTCTCAAAGTATATGATGAACTGCTATTTCCGAGCACCTTTAAGGCAAGACTGAATAACTTTCCAGAAAGTATACTGTGACATAGCTTTCAAAATAAGTTCATCAGATGAGAGCTATAAGGGTAGAGAAAGGAGGTATTACAGTGGCAGCTTGAGGACATTCTTCAGGCACTAGAATCAAAGAGACCAACTCACAGTGTAATTTGCTTGCCTTGCACCCAGCACGGTCAGGAGACTTTCCTTGCTGCATGGAGATAATACTGATAATTTCCCGAATCAGAAATCTCAAGTTTCAGCCATTCTCTTTCAGGAGAGAATTTTCCCTCTGCTTGAGGGAGACCAGCCTAATCACTTGGCAGGGGAAGTTTCACTATTTTCTGAAGCAGGGTGGCTACATGAGCAGGTGGATTTAGAAAATAATGTTATCCTGCATTTCAGAGGTATAAGAGCACAGGAACGGCCTGGTTATGTCACTGACATGCTGAAACGTATACTACGGTCAGCAAAATAGCACCACAAAGGGTATTTTCCAACAGTGACACCACCCGTACAGCACCAAACTCTCATTTGCCTGCTTCAAATACATAGGCAAAGATTATTCCCCCAAAACAATTCAGGCCTTGGATGTTTGTCTGGAGTCTCCTGAAGCATCCAGAAACGTTATAAGGTTTTCCAGTGACAAAAAGGTTGGCACAGTGCAATAGATTAGACTGGCAGACTTCCTGGTGTCCCATCTCACCCCAGGCTCTGCAAGAGTCTGGGCTTCTCACAGCACCAAGCAGTGAGGGAGCACAGACACTCCCCTGCTGCAGTGATGAAGGCTCTGTACAGCATTTTGCTGGATCAGCCAGCCTAGGCAACTAGCTCCTGCTGACTTACTAAATCACCCAGCTGACAGTAAATGTGATAACGCTAGAGTAGATAGTATAACTGTCCTTAATTTTCAGAAATGAAATATCAGTTTAGGACCTAGCAGCTGCTCTGCACATGGTTCTTGGCAAGATACTGTTTTTCCAGCATCATGACTCATCTTCTTCCTACTAGGAAAATGAGCGAGGTTTGGCAGGTCAACTACTCCCTTCACCAGCCAGCCTTGACTATAGGATACGGAGCTCATCTTTTTCTCACTGGGCCAACATGGAATGGATTATGGCACTGCTACTACAGCAAAACATGATTGGTATGTCTACACCCACAGTCAAGAGGCATATTATATCCTTTGACATATCTCCAATTGCTGGATAGATACAAATCCTGTTCCATTGCTGGAAACTGCTACTACATGTATTTAGCATATTAATATATTAAACATATGAAATGTGGAATACTTACAATAAGTAGGCATACAAGCAAAGTCTTTCTTTTCTACTATTCTACTCCACCTCCGTAACAGCACATTGAATACTCTGACTTCAAAATATGAAAATTCATGCATGTTTAAAAGCAGAATTAAGAGTGACAGGAACCACCAACATAGAAAGGAAGAGGGAAGGAAATAATTGCATCTCCCAAAACAACAGCAACAGTTTAGGGTGCCATTTGTCTAATGTCTCTTATTCCCCCCTCAGAACTAATCTAGTCTCACACAGCATGGACAAGATTATATTCTTCTAACAGGACACAACACTTTACTACATTTTCACTGAAGCTACAAGAGCAACAGATCCAGACTATTTCACTTCTTTAGCTACTCTTGCAATTCTTTCTATTACAGAAGTTCCTCATGGAACTGAAGCCTTGCATTCTGCCACTTGCTTAAACCATGGCTTTTTTCCTTTTTCAGGATCTTGCAAACTGAAGTCTGGTATTCTAGAAACTCAAGAATGTTACCTCAAATAATTCTGAAGGTTTTGGGAAAAGATAAATTAAGGAGTTGAGGTAAAGGAAATCTCAGGTGAATGGGATGTTTTTGTTAGCCAGCTTTTGTGCAGCTGTAGCTTCAGTTCTGTAAGCTCAGAAGGAAGCAATTACATTGTGAAAAGGGACTAGAAGCTTCATCTTCCACCTTCATGAGATCACACTGCCCTTGTGAACCTCTGCTGAGGCTCTTACTGCAAGTAATGCAAGGTCCTGAAGACTAGAATTTCTCTAGCATTACTTAACAAGAGGGTAGAGTTTCTCTATGAGCTCTGAAAGGGATTAGAAGCATACATACTTTTTATGGTTCATTTATTTTTGATTCTAGAGCAGGAGGAGCAGCAAATAGACTGCCACGTGTCCCCGGCTTTTTATTTAGCTTTTACCTGCTCAACTCCCTTTCCTATTATGTCCCAGCAACTCACTACTTTGTTGAGGCATCAGCTTTTATGACAAGAAACACAAGCACAAAAGCTTTGAACTTCTAAATACCTTGAAGAACGGTGCCTGACTCCAAGTTTCTCACCTCCCTCATACATGATTTCAGGTACATAGGGGCCACTATCACCCCTGTCTTAGACTAGCATAAGCTGAAATGCATTACAGAGCTTATTGGGAGTCTCTAGCTCAGACTAGAGACCTAGGCCTAACAGGTCAAGGAATGTGCCTCCATCTGTTTTAAGCCAGGTTCAGACCAGCACAAGGCTAACTATCAGAGAGGGCAAATGCTTCTCTAGAAACTGTTACTATAACGTAAATGAAAGATGGATCATGTCTCCCTTAACTGACTAACCTTCAGTCAGTGGAGAAGCAGATGTGTACATTTGAAGAAAATAGCCAGACATTACTGTGTATCCCATCAGTACTACAATTTCATCTTTTCTAGTGTATTTACATACACTGGTCAACATGCTCCACAACTACTCCTGGTCAGCACTATTTTGATGCAATAACTTGAGGCAAGCAGTGTTTAGCATAATTTTATTTGTACAAGAATTTCAGAATCATTGAGGTCCAAAACCCAACTTCCAAGAATAAGTGAACACCACAGTGCAGAGTAGTAGAGAAGTTACTGTGACCAATCTCACATTTGGGCTCACTGCAAATTCAAATACTTCTAGTAACTTGTTCTGCCAGCTTAAAAAAAAATTTCATTTCTCCAGAAGAAGGATGAGAGATTTTCAAAAAGCTGACTTCTTTTAATTGTTAAAAAAAGATAAGAAGTAAATATAGAAAATTACTTTTAAATTTCAACACAAATTACAGTTTTAATCAGAAAGAAAGACAAGCCCAAACTAGACACTTCAGTGAGTGGCCTTTCTTCCAATACAAGTGAGAAAGTGTTCCAACCATTCCCCCACCAAAGCCTCTACAACTATAACCCAGCCTCCTTCCTTTAACTTTTTCATTCAAATTAAAGAGTACATTAAATACACTTCACTGTTTAATAAATGGTTGACAGCAATGATTGAGTAAGACTTAGATGCCAAGAGCAGAAGTGTTACTATCCATTTGGCTCTCCTGATGCCCAGATCAGACTGATTTGCCAGTGAAGATGGCCAACTTATTGCTTATTCCTGTACCCAACAATTATGGCACCCTGATTCAATGAGCTGTTTAGTGAGAATAATATTCAACAAGTACCCTCAATACACTGACAGTTTATAATTGAAGCAGTGTGTCCAAGTCCTCTAAGAGAATTCTTTCCAAGCACTCATAATATACAGTGATAAGCAGAGATACTACCAACATGAATAGGTATTCTAATGACTAGCAGAAACCCATGAAGTCTACACATAAGACATACCAAATGCTTAACCCCAGAACTCAGTCCCAGACTATTGGCATACAAGTTTTAGAGAAGTTTAGGCATCTGGACTAGATTTAAATACTAGCTTCTGTTTTGTAGACAAGATATTCATGTTCAAATAAGATAAGAGGTTTTAAAAAACTTCTGATTACTCAGAAAAGCCAGTCGTAGTCTTCAGCCTCCAGTTTAGTGATTGATTGAACAAGCTGTGAACAGAAGCAGCAACATTTAATTTGAGCTGAGGGAGCATAACATATGCTTTACCATACAACTTTTCAGATGACCATAGATCAGCATAGGAATTTTAACCAGAGTAACTAAAACCTAGTTTGCTAGTCTTAGCAGCACCTTAGCCAGGGAAAAATTTTCATTTCACTTACAGTAGTGAAATCATCAAGTTATAAGTTGAAAAGGGAACTTAGAGACAAATATTGACAACAGATGCTTAACCTCAGACTGGCTTAGCCCAGCAGAGCTTACCAGCTACAGGAAGAAAATGGCTATTTTAAACTATGCACTCTATTTAGCTAGAAGTCTAGTCCTCACAAGTGATAAACTGCTACAAAATTTGCATTCTAGTATTACTGCTGCTTTATTTTGTTGCTACTGCCCAGTGAGAAAGTACTCAGATATCTGAAGTACAATAGTCTGTCTTTAACCTCCCCTTAATACTGAAATGGGCAACACAGGATAGAGCAGGTTTGCAGAGACATCATTAAGCACTGAAGGGAGACTAATCAAGCAAGCAGCCTAAGTGTTGGCTAGGGTCATTATTGCAACTTAGCCTAGTGCTCACTCTTACGTTACACCCTGCTAAAGGGGCCACCATAAGCCTGAACTCAAACCAACTAGCACACATCAGATAAGCTACTGACACTTGCAACATCAGACTGCCAAGACAACTTGAAATAAAAAGGAATAGACTGTTGGCAACACAGTGACACAAAGCTACTTCATATTTCAGCTCTAACTAAACTACCAGGCCAGAGTTGTTCTGAAGGTAACGATGTAGAACATTGTACCAGCAATCCCTCCTATGCTAGTGCCAATGCAGCAGGTAATATGCAACTTCAGGCTAAAGTTTAGTTATTCAAGACCTTAACATTGAGCATCCAGACTAAAAGGTATCAATAAGTCTAATATGCTGGAGCAACTTAAGAGCAAGATAGGGAACAAAGCAGTCCTGCAGGGTTAAAAACCCAGGAAGTCAGCTGTTTAGAGAAAGTAACCATTCAAAATAAGACTTCCATAAAGACCTCAGCAACAGTTACATTAGCGAGAGCAAAATATCTGTTCAAGAAAGCTTGAATTCTCTGTAGCTATATCTCAGTAGGAACCTGAGAGCCTTCCTTCTGGCACTTCCTTTTCCACTAGATGCATCTGGCCTGATGTTCAGCAGCCAAGGCATTCAAAGATGAGCAAAACAAAGGTAGTTTGTTTTAAGCTTGAGGAATTGCTTAAGCATTTGATCACTTCTTCCATGTGAGCTGATACACAGAACCAGTTTCTAAAGATCAGCCATGAGATCACACAAGACAGATGCATAAGTGTAAGCTATTGATGGGCAAATCAAACATGTCTCTCTAGGTAGTGGCTTACTTCTGCAAGGGGTATAGCTTAGGTTAGCTTTGAAAATAGCTATTTAAGAAGTTACTACTACAACAAACTCAAGGTAAAAACAGCTTCCTTTCTAATGATATTCTATACTAGGCCAAGTATCGCCTGCATGTGGCAGGTACTCATGTACAGGTTTATATCCAGGCAGTAGGTCTGCACCAAGTTTGACACACATTATGACAACGCTGGCAGCATGCCAATTTGACAAAAGCCTTCCGAACAGTCACTCTTATCTAAGCACCTTGCCTATAGCCTATATCAAGCCCAAGACAGTTAAAGGAAAAGGTTAGTTTACTTTCAAATTTAAATATTTCAGTATCACTGACTACTCAGGAAGCCTTTCATAAAAATCAGAGGCTATCAAATTATTTTTCTATTTGCTACTGAAGCTGCTTACAAGACTGTTCAAGAAATGAAGCTAAAGTACGCTTGGCTACAGTTTTCTATTTTCTAGCTTTCTGTTTTCTAGATTATATCCCTGCCTTCCTAGCCTAAGGGAAATTTCAACAAACTAGTTGCCTCACTGCTATACTGAAGCAATCTTTATGGATTACTTGAGAGCTTGCAACTAGAAAATCTTTGGTCCTACCAGAAACAGGCAGTCTTTCAGCCTTGCCAGGTAAGTGTTGCACCGCTACCATTTTCCATCTCTAACAGCAGCTATACATTGGGTTTCCACTTGCTTTCTGCTTTACCTCCAAATTTAAATCCTTGTTTGATCTGGCACTTCAGTCTCATAAGCTACCAGAGGCAGCTAGAAGTTAGTCACAAAAAAGGGTTAGCAAATAAACATTCTTAAACATTGCACCAGTACATATTAAGTAGCTCCAAGATCTGCCCTTCTAGTCTATTTCTCCGGTTAAGCAAAAGAAAAATCATAATCACTTGCTTATCTGTATTTTACTACTGCAATTCAATGAAAGCATTCCTGTTAACATACCAGCCAGTTTTTAGTGCTGCTATATACAGAACTGGGGAATTTTAAACCCTCCTTATGAAGCACAGAAGTTGCAAAGCAGCAAGCTCAACACCTACCCTTTGACATCAGCCACCTATACTTCAAAAGGAATATATATAGACAGTCTTTCAGAGGCTGTTCTGAAAATAGGGGTAGACTTCTGTCACATACAGCATCTGTAGAGCACCCTACTTAGGGTTTATACACCTCTTCAGGTGAGGGTTAAGACCACTGGGGAGGAAGAATTTGACTTGAGCCTCAAAAAAATCTCATACAGTAACCAAGTGACAGTGATAAACTAGTAAGCTTGACCCTTAAGTGGTGACAGAAAGACAAGCCTTCAGGACCTGCCTGAAGTTGTACAAGAAAAGTCATTCTAGGAGGCACTTTGGGAAGTTCTACTGTAGCAGGAGTGCACAGTATCCTGCAACAGTTTTCTTTTTGCTTGCTGTGGACCTGTGAGAATCAAAGTTAAGCTTCAGTGTAAGAGCCAAACTATGTTCCAGCTGTGCTGGCAGTTTTTGAAAGAAGCAGCCAAAGGCTTTATCTTGAGTCTACCCTCAATAGTATTTTTCCACCCTAACCTTTCAACAGTGCTCCTAATTCTATTTAAGGCTTCAACTCCTTGTTTTAAGGACTTTGCACATTAGTGAGTTTTATAGGTCATGTTTTGGTGCGTGTTTTGAGAAGCTACCTTCCAAGTTTTTGTACCCAAGAAGAGTTACTTTTAGTCAGCCCATGCTTTACAGAAACTTGCTAATCCATCTTCAACTTCCAAGAAATTCATCTTGAACTTGAGGCAGGACCATATATCCCCATGCACTGCAGGAAACAACCTTGAGGCCCTCTACAAGACAGACAGTATCCATACAGATACCAGTTCTGTACAGCCAGAAAGTACAAGCAGCCCAAGTATGACACGAGCTGTTGGCCCACTTTTTTTTTTTAAACACAATTTCTTCAACAGAAAGTTGGTCAGAACTTCAGCTGAGAAATTATAACATAATGAGGTTAGGCAAGAGAACAGTTTTTGCTATTCCCAGAGACATCTTCATAAGCTTCATAAGACATCTTACACTAACACTCAGTTTACTTCGTGTTGCACCTAGATTACATGTTTAATAGCTGTTTCCAGGATGAATAGCAAGTTCCATAACTGCTCCTCTAACATTCAGCTACTGGTTCTCTTTTCCCAGTGAAGAGGCAATAAGGCTTCTTGGCATTTGCAGATACATACTGAAAGGCTCTTACAGATTACCTGGTTGCATTTTCCTACTACATACCAGGAAATACAGTCCAAAGCAAGTCCTACATTCCCATTAGAAACCCCCCTATTGATAGTTATTACTTATCTATGAATACTCAGCATCTTGACTTTCAGTAGCCTCCATTTAAGAGCTCTCAAGGGAAATGCTCAATTGCAAGGCAACCAAGTGGGGTAGGACTGGCTATATGGAACAGGAGCATTTGCAAGATAGTAGTTGCTGAAGTTTACATCACTAACATAAGGTGCTGGCTGGTAATAACAGGTAACATTAGTGGCATTAGGGATGATGTTTTGTTCTGCCAGAACTTTGAGTGCTAGCAGAGAAATCAAGTTGAGAGTCTGCCTTCGCTCATGTCCCATGAGACACACTGTGCTCTCATTCACCACTCTGCGTAGAATCATGAGGTAGTCATATTTGCTCCTCTCTTCTTTGGAGAAGTGGTTCTGGAGGTAGGTCTCTAGTTTGCGCTGTTGATCCAGGATATCTGGGAAGTCAATGAAGAATCGGGAGCACATGTAGCGCTCTAATGTTTTGATCTCATCTTTATCCATGGGCCTGAAGTCTCGTACCAAGAGGTTACTATACTTTAGAAGCCCACCACCTCGGATCTCCTCAGGATTTTTGGTAGCTATCAGTTTGTTCTGGAGGTGATCAAAAGCTGCTTCAAAGTCTCCATACATACTCTCCCCAATCACAGTTGGATGGAAGTGCTCTGACATGGGGTTTTCTGAGTAGTCATAGTAGAAGAGCAGGGAGTCCAGTATGATTTGGAAAGAGTCCACACTGAACTCAAACTGCCGTCTTATACAGTCTACAAACTTCAACTCCACATTTCTACCATGTTTGTTGGAAAGCGATATCAAGCTCCAGCGGTCAGACTCTGTGCATACTTTCACTAGCTTCTGGATGTAGGCTTCTTTCAGTGTTACTGGACTGATTTTTAGCTTGTTTACTCCTTCCGGTAAGAAATTCAAGAGAGATCGCAACACCACATCTCGAACTAACTGAAACTCTGCCTCACTTGGAAGAGAAACTTGAAAAATGAGATCCAGGTCCTTGCATCCCAGTCCATTATCCTTGACCAGAACATGACCAGCTGCAGAGCCATTCAGACGGACGTCATGTACCACAATGCCTGCCTCACCTAGCCTACTCCGAACAGTCTGAACAATGTCCTTCAGAGTTATCTTCAGTGTTGGGAAGTTACCTCGTCCATGGATTGGAACCACCTCTGTAAGAACCTCATGCAGACGGCTGACCTGCTCCCAGTTCAGTACACTGCATGACATGCAGTCTGTATTACTTCCTTTGCCTGCCATTTTAAGGCTTTTCTTCTCCAAAGAAACTGTAGGAAAGGGAAAAAATAACAAGTCAGACCTTATACTTACACTTCCTGGATACGCATGCTATGCTCTGCTGCGGTCTATAGATATAGACAGAAAACTAAAAAGAAAATTCTACATACTAATGCTTATCAGAAAGCCTTTCCCCTGAAAGGATACTCATCCTATCTAGTGCTGCACACACAAAATTTAGTCATCTGTCCTTTTTTCTGAGGCAGACTTGAGCACTGCAGCTTTGTTTTTGTTTCAGAGGAAAGTCTCAATGAAAATGATACATTAGCTTTGCCCGAAGTTCCAAGGACATCCACAATACCAGCTGAAGCCAATGAGAACCGCAAGTGCAAAACACCTCTGAAAGTTAGATTTAAAGTTGTCTCATTATATTTAAAGCTCAAACTGCTCTCTCCAACTAACATGATACTGGAAGACATTCAGGTGTTAGTTTCAGAGCTTAGAAGCATCCAGTCCACTGAAAGCACTTTAATAATGCCATAGACAGAAGACTTCTTCCTTTTCATGAAGTTTTTTTGTTTTTCATACTAAAAGTGGTAGATGCTTAGTGGTTAAGGGCCAAGTTCATCTTGCTCCTGCAAAAAAGCCACAGCACTTCAGCATCTTGGACAAAATGTCAACTGCAAAGTCAGATAACAGCTACAACTAGTCAATCACACTCTAGTCTTTATAAGCAATTCTTTATTCTCCAGATACACTGTGTAATCCAGCTACCTTTTTGAATATTCATATTTGCACTGCCTTTTGCTCCCTTGTGGAAGGGGAGCTGAAACTTGCTAGACTTGGCATACATTCAGATGAGATTAAGGCACACCTCATGGCAGGGTTAAACTCCTGAATGCTCAAGTGTAAAACCTCAGTGATCAGACTGTCACAGCCTTATCTAAACTTCTGGAGTTTATCTAAACTTATCTAAACTTCTGGAGTCGACAAGTAGTCTCATCGACCCGATCTCTGCCTCGTGCTTAAATGGCTTGTGTTTTGGAGTATGTAGATACTCGTATATGTTCCACAATCATGCAACTCCAGCCAGTATTAATACACTTATCCCTTTTTAAGTGCTCCAGCTTTCTATTGTGGCCAGGTGCTTTTTGAAAGCTACAGACTAATTCTGCTGCTCCAAGTACTAGAAAGGACTACACCTGCAGTTGCCAAGGTCAGGCTATTCAAACTTTAGGTAGTTAACTCTTGCCTACCAGGAATTGTTTAAATCCCAACCACACAGCTTCCTATTATGCATTAGCCTAGTGCAAGGGAATACTTTAAGCAAGGTGCAAAGAGCTGCTACTATCATATTTCATGCCTGTCTTCTTCCAGTTTCTAATTTGTGAACAGCTCATTTGACTTGTCAGCTTTTTCTACAGAGGCTAGTCAAATCCTAAATCAGACGTGTAATAAGGTTAAGTGTTTCTTGGGAAGCAATTTCTATCCTTGAACAGAAGCTGCTCCATCACATTACCATCTCCACTCATAATGAGAGCCACATTAGCTTCAGCAGGCATGAAGCAAACCTGTGATTCATGACTGTCCTGGGTTAAAACTCCCAGCGCTGCAAAATCCTGACGGCATTCAGACTACCAGTAGTTGGCCACAGGCACTTCTAGCACATTAAAGTATTTCTTCATCTTACAAAGCACTGTTTTCATCAAATCCTTCAGGCCTGCAGATCACTGAAAAACAACGACCTCTAGCTTAAGCTGCAAGGGCTCTTAGTTACTCCATCTGAAAGCGCTCCCCCTCTTCCTTTCCATTTGGAGACACCTTAGCAGCTAAGTCCACTAAGCAACCAGAGAACACTTCTCAGACAGTCCCCACACTTGGCTCTCCTCCTACCTTCAAGATTCTTATGTTGGAAAAAAATCACATACGCTGCTGCCCTTGTCAGTGTCTTCCAGGGGGGCTTTTCAGGTATTGTGTTTCTACAGTTCAATGCGGAGTTCAATTCTTAGGTGGTTAGCCTATGAAACCTCTCGCCCCCCACATTACTCAGATACTTTGTCTACTCCGCAAGGTTTAGGTTTATGACAAAAGGACCTTTGGTTTTAATGCATTTAGGGCATTAGTAATTTGCCTGCCTCCTATGTCTTGCCTTCCAATAGTTACCACCACAGAAAGATTCGACACCTGAAGATGTTCCTCCACTAGGAAGAAACTAGTTTTGGAGACAAGATAAGCACTACCCCTTCTACTATCAAGTCTTGAGATTATTGCAGCTTCACTTGGGTGAAGTACTCTGATCATAGGCAGAAAGAGAGTGAGGATAGTGTTCAGCAACCTTTACCTTTCTCATGATCAAGTATATTACTCTGCAGTAGAGCTTTCTTTCCTATGAAGCATAAAGTTTCATACTATTTCTAAGAAATTTACATGGGTGACCCACAACAAACAATACTCTGCAGTACTACAGTATTACATACTGAGTTAAACTCAGATATCGAAAGGCAGGGAGATTTAGTTTCCTTTAAAGGATGCTTTCTCTTGAGAGCTAAGTGTGCTTTGTTGTACTACCAGTGGCAAATTTCAGCCAGCACCTTAGACAGTTAAGAGGACTGACCTGTGATCACTGTAGCATTACAGTTTGAAGTATTTACATGATATACAAGACCTCAAGGTATATTCCCAACCTAAATGCAACAGCTCCACTGACCCACATGGAGCAGTTCTACTATATGAAAGAATGACTTTCAAATCAGGTGTTAAGTACATGACCGCAGTACTGACTGCATCTGCTATACAATAAACAAAGTTAGGACATTTAACAGAAGTGTTTATCTTCTTGATTGGCTCTGATCCCCAAGCCACAGAGTGGATCACACAGCATTGCTCTGCCGCTATACTATAGGCTCAGCCCCAGATAGAGAACTCACTTAGAGCACACTTGGGTCACATAAAGCTCACTTTCGAGTAATTTTTTTTTTTTT